TCCTCTATAAACCAATGAACACAGGTTTAGTTGCCCGAAGCAGCACCTACAGTTCTGACGAATGAGCTGTCTTTGAATAATCAGCTGGTGTTTCTGTAGTGAAACCATTAGACTGCTGCGCAAAGTAGGAGGGACACATGTGGTTTGCGCTTGACGAAATGCAATGCACTACATAAGTGTTGGGACCTATATAAACGCAAGAGTCATTGATTCTTCCTGAGGGGACGACATCTGATGGATTACGGGTTATGCCAATAAGACTTCTCCAAGGAACCTGATTTTGAAAGTTCTCCTTGAGGGGTTGTTCTGTGAATTTAATGGTACTCAGTGGGTCAGTAGATTGAGCACTTGTGGGTTGCTCAATCTACCTTACAATCCAAAAAGAATTATCTATCTATGATCTAAACTCCTGGTCAGGCAATGACTGATTACATCGGCAGATACCGTAGCTTAACTAAATGCAGGTAGGATTCTAACAGTATCCTCATGTCGTTTGTCGCCGATTTATAATTGACTGTTGAGTAATTAACTTTAGGGATGATATCAGTGGGTGAATATTAAAAAGGCAAAGTGAATCGATGTACAGCTGCGTCACCCAAAACTAAAGATACGCCTCTACGAAGAAACAGCACACTTTTAGAAGGAATTAAGATCAAACCGTTGTTAGCAATGAGAAAACGCGTTCTAACATAAAAATTGGGGAGTCTGACGGTCAAAAACGGCCGCTGCTGTCTATTGCCCTTTCAGTATATCAATCAAAGCACTTCTTGGGAGGTTCAGTTCTGAATAAATTACAAACTGCATAAATAACTTGGATGGCATTCAATTAACTTGGTTTAGTCTAACGCATACGCGCAAGCTTTAATTGCCAACTGAAGAAAAGCAGTTACTGTGCTTTGACACGCAAATGGATGAGTTTTTGCGGAGATAAAAAATTCACGTTTAGAGGGTTGGCGTCTGCGAGGCAAAAAAATACATCAGCATACTGCAGTTTACAGTTGGGCGCTGCTCAGCTGGTAAAAGCAATTCCTTCAGATTCGCTCATATAACCTGTAACAGAAAAAAATAACCGGGGTAACGTCATTGATAATTCCAAAACAACTTAGATCATAATGTGCGATGTGCTGCTTACAGGCTTCATATGAATATCCCCATAGGATTGGTGAACGAAATTCAAGTTTAGGATAGTCACTTGAAATGTGCTTAAAATTAAGGTTACCTCACAGTCAGGGTGAAACATTGCTCCTCGTATTTCTGCATATAAGAAGAAACTATAGCACTTAATACGCAGTCTGTGTGCGATAGTTTTAGAAATAGTGTTAACATAAATTTCTCTGCTGGTTATGCCAGTGAGATCAATTAAATCATGTGTCATTTATGAGGATCTGCGGAAAACCATCTGACGGATCCAGCTATAGGCCTTTTCGGCACAGTTCAATGGACTTTCTCAATAAATCACCGATTCCAGTAAAGTATTCAGTCGACATTGTCAAGTCAAATGGATCCCCATCACCTTATTTGCCTTCTGATACCTGCAGCGGGAATTCCGTCCTCTTTCGAGTTTTTAGTTTGCAGCAATTGCTAAAACAAATTTCTTGTCATTATCTCACTAACCGCTCTGATCATTGTTTTCGACGTGTCGGTGGACCTGCAACGGAAACACAGATGAAGAACACATAAATACATTTGTTTAAGCTATTACAATGGTTCGGTGGGTGCATCAGTAAGCTCTCCAAACTGATAAGACGTTTTTATCAGTCTCTTCATTTAAAATCTCAAGATATGGATAAATATACCATGTGTCAACTAATAGACGCAGTAACAAACTTTCTATCAGATAAAATGGATGGTACTATCATTTTCATTCCCGCACTATTGATGACTTATGTACTACCTAACCCAAAACAGACTAACAGCGAAGAACTGATAACAAATGTCAACAATTTATCACAAAGTAAGACATTGGAATGCTAATTTAGCATAAACAGTCTTGACTAATTAAAGAAAGGGCTTTAAATGTTTAGAATTTCTCGAATATTGACCAAAGCAGATGCAAAAACAAAAAATGATTTATCTTATAGGAATTCCATGTGTTTCAAGCCGATTCTAGTTCCCCCCGTAAACTACATCTCTCTGCATTGGATTAACCACCCGAACCAAACAACCTGTTTTTTCGTGATGTAGAGGAGAGTGGATATGCTCCAATAATTTTGAAGTTTAAGTGTGATGCTACAGAGGAAAGTGGATGAAATCTCCGGGACAACCCATTGCCGGTTTCAAGGTTTTGGGATACATCAAGTATATTCCGTCATCAGATATGTTACGGAACTTTTACACGTCGTATAAATGATTGAATATGAAGGATATTACTTCCGCATCTCAGCTGTTTTTTAGATGGCTATAGAATGGCCTTCATGCGGAGCATTCAGTCAAACATTAGTGCAAACAAGAGATCTGGTTGAGTTCATCCGAGTCTTATTTACACCAACTAAAATTACAAGTGATTAGCATCATAAAAAAGATCTTTTCATTAGAGGAAGGCGGATTGAACATAGAGTTGTATACCTGACATAGATCTGACAGACATATAACAGTGTCTATCAAAACTGACACTACTCCATGTAACTGAAGCTTGTTGCTTTGGAAATCAAACAACTTACAAAACACAATTTAGAATAACTCTGCTTCATAAAGGGAACTACTCACAAGGTTGCTGAAAGCTCTTAGACAGCCCATGACCGGTCTGCATAAATAACTTGGATGGCATTCAATTAACTTGGTTTAGTCTAACGCATACGCGCAAGCTTTAATTGCCAACTGAAGAAAAGCAGTTACTGTGCTTTGACACGCAAATGGATGAGTTTTTGCGGAGATAAAAAATTCACGTTTAGAGGGTTGGCGTCTGCGAGGCAAAAAAATACATCAGCATACTGCAGTTTACAGTTGGGCGCTGCTCAGCTGGTAAAAGCAATTCCTTCAGATTCGCTCATATAACCTGTAACAGAAAAAAATAACCGGGGTAACGTCATTGATAATTCCAAAACAACTTAGATCATAATGTGCGATGTGCTGCTTACAGGCTTCATATGAATATCCCCATAGGATTGGTGAACGAAATTCAAGTTTAGGATAGTCACTTGAAATGTGCTTAAAATTAAGGTTACCTCACAGTCAGGGTGAAACATTGCTCCTCGTATTTCTGCATATAAGAAGAAACTATAGCACTTAATACGCAGTCTGTGTGCGATAGTTTTAGAAATAGTGTTAACATAAATTTCTCTGCTGGTTATGCCAGTGAGATCAATTAAATCATGTGTCATTTATGAGGATCTGCGGAAAACCATCTGACGGATCCAGCTATAGGCCTTTTCGGCACAGTTCAATGGACTTTCTCAATAAATCACCGATTCCAGTAAAGTATTCAGTCGACATTGTCAAGTCAAATGGATCCCCATCACCTTATTTGCCTTCTGATACCTGCAGCGGGAATTCCGTCCTCTTTCGAGTTTTTAGTTTGCAGCAATTGCTAAAACAAATTTCTTGTCATTATCTCACTAACCGCTCTGATCATTGTTTTCGACGTGTCGGTGGACCTGCAACGGAAACACAGATGAAGAACACATAAATACATTTGTTTAAGCTATTACAATGGTTCGGTGGGTGCATCAGTAAGCTCTCCAAACTGATAAGACGTTTTTATCAGTCTCTTCATTTAAAATCTCAAGATATGGATAAATATACCATGTGTCAACTAATAGACGCAGTAACAAACTTTCTATCAGATAAAATGGATGGTACTATCATTTTCATTCCCGCACTATTGATGACTTATGTACTACCTAACCCAAAACAGACTAACAGCGAAGAACTGATAACAAATGTCAACAATTTATCACAAAGTAAGACATTGGAATGCTAATTTAGCATAAACAGTCTTGACTAATTAAAGAAAGGGCTTTAAATGTTTAGAATTTCTCGAATATTGACCAAAGCAGATGCAAAAACAAAAAATGATTTATCTTATAGGAATTCCATGTGTTTCAAGCCGATTCTAGTTCCCCCCGTAAACTACATCTCTCTGCATTGGATTAACCACCCGAACCAAACAACCTGTTTTTTCGTGATGTAGAGGAGAGTGGATATGCTCCAATAATTTTGAAGTTTAAGTGTGATGCTACAGAGGAAAGTGGATGAAATCTCCGGGACAACCCATTGCCGGTTTCAAGGTTTTGGGATACATCAAGTATATTCCGTCATCAGATATGTTACGGAACTTTTACACGTCGTATAAATGATTGAATATGAAGGATATTACTTCCGCATCTCAGCTGTTTTTTAGATGGCTATAGAATGGCCTTCATGCGGAGCATTCAGTCAAACATTAGTGCAAACAAGAGATCTGGTTGAGTTCATCCGAGTCTTATTTACACCAACTAAAATTACAAGTGATTAGCATCATAAAAAAGATCTTTTCATTAGAGGAAGGCGGATTGAACATAGAGTTGTATACCTGACATAGATCTGACAGACATATAACAGTGTCTATCAAAACTGACACTACTCCATGTAACTGAAGCTTGTTGCTTTGGAAATCAAACAACTTACAAAACACAATTTAGAATAACTCTGCTTCATAAAGGGAACTACTCACAAGGTTGCTGAAAGCTCTTAGACAGCCCATGACCGGTTTCGTCCTAATTGGGGCTCATCGGGTTGGCGCAGTCCCCGAGTTTCCGTCAACCTTATGTTTTACTTGAACATTCTCAAATCTCATGAGCCGAATATATATGACACATGACAATATACTGTGTTTTTTTGGAGGCAAACTACCCGTCCTTTGTGTTAAAATACACTTGAAATATCCTGACCACAACAAAATGCGAAACGGGCACTTGCACACCAAATGAACCACTACTGAGGGATAAAAGTTCTCGCAAATTTGCTCAAGAATGTTCTTTAGAATCATACTGGTAAACTCTGCATTCAAATAGGAGACTTACTTGGAAAAGCGAAATTGTTTTGTAGTGCGCATGAGTTTCAGACTGGTTTGGTGCAAATATATCGCGAAGGGACTCAGAAGTTAGATTCAACCAGTCACCGAACGTTAACGTCGTAACGACAAAAGAATTTGTGGATGAAATATTGCTGATTTCACACTCCATTTCTACATCTTCGAAGGAATCCGTCTGACGAAACTGTTTCTCAAGCTTAGAAAAGACAAATAATAGGGTAAGATTATGGAGAGCAGTGCACTAGTAATAAATTTTCCACGCTAGCTTAGGAACTAAGTAGCTCCATGCAAAGGTTGCCCGCACATCCGACCAAATGAAATCGTTCTGAATGTGTTCCAAAAGTTAGTGCTATTTGTTTTGTTCTAAAGTTTACTTGGTATTCGAATTCCTGTCTCGAGGACGCTTGCGCAAATGGAAGTGTAATGAATTGCTATGGGTGAGTAATCACGTGAATTTACCTGTCAAATGCACTTGAATTATTAACAGATGTTCAGTTGTAACAGGGCAAGAACGAATATTCAGCAGGATTTTTAAAACAATAAAATCCGTTCCTAAATATTTTGCTTTGTCATGGTCACACCAGAAATCAGTTGCACCTACAAATCTGAAGCAAGAGAGGTTATACGTGATGCTAGGATGTTTTGCGCGGATTCATTGCGAATAGCAGTCCCATATTTCGCCACCAACCCTAAATCGAGGAAGATCTGGATCCAAATGCCACAGTAATCAAAGTCTATGTACACTTCGTGTGCTTCAGCTGGCAGGGTTTGATCCTTTGATGTCATCTGTGTAAATTAGGCGTGTGTAGCAACGCTAACAGAGACAACCTCTTTTTGGACGATCTAGTTTAACAGGAAAATGCGCTCACGCTTTGTGGTTACGGTTTATCTGTCGATAAATACCACAAAAATCACAGCCGCCTATAATTAGAAAAAAATATCTGCGGGTTATTAAATTTGGTGCTGTTGCCTTGTTTTCGAAATCGACAGACGAAACCCGGGCAGCTATGCTGTCCCATTTCGAGTAAATAGATCGATTCAATAACAAATGGCCTCTCATGTTCGTACGGGATAACTGCGAGAACGCAACTTGGCAACCTTGATCGTCAAGCCTAGTTTGGACATTCTGGGCCTCAGAGCACCAATATCTAAAAAAATGGGTCAGAATAAAGTTGATGCAAGTAGACAAGTTAAACTATTGTTAACTTTTGTGTGATGTTACGCAGAAGATGTGAAAGTTCACTCCGCAGTAAAACTGCTGAGAAGCTGTTCAAAGTTTCTGAAGGATGAGCACCACGCACGTTCCTTTACAGTGTTACATTTACATCTTGCTCACAAGCCCCATGAAGGTATGCAGAAATCGTTAACACTATGAAGATGTTCACCCGACATCTACCAGTTTCATTCTGTGGGTTTAACTCAAAACTCCACGCAGTTAACTGCTTCTTTTAGCTCATTCTCTGTGCACTCTACGAAGTCAACTTGGCAGCACCAGTGAATTGACAGACCAATAGAATGTGGAGACTTCGTCCTGTAACTGAAGCCAATCTATGCTGAAAAGCCGAGAAGCACAGTACAGCTGTTTCACCCTTATTGGGTATCATCAGCAGTGCGCATCCCACCAAAGTCCGAAGAGTCTCGAACCCGAGTTAACCACACTGCTGATCAGCCACTCGTTGCCGAACGGTTAAGTGTTCAAACTACTAGCCGGGAGGTCGCGGGTTCCAGACTCTTCGGAGTTTCGTGAGATGCGCACTGCTGATGATTCCCAATAAGGATGAATCAGCTGTACAGTGCTTCTCGGCTTTTCAGCATAGATTGGCTTCACTTACAAGACGAAGTCTCTACAAAAATTCCAAATCTCCTCACACTACCAACAAGACCAATAGAATTTTCGAGATCAATGGTGGTGGATCAAAAGTAACAGCAACGTTTTATTACAAACTTAAGGCGCCGTTAGTTAAAGGAATAAATTTTCCACCGGAATAGAAACAGGCGTAAAAGAAACAATTCTTTTGATGGAAGTTAATCTATACATTTTGGTCTTCTGATTTTCGGACAGAATCTCGGGACACCGTACCTGATTCAATAAAAACCTTTCGTGCTAGAAAAGTAATTATGACAAGAATATCTGGAATTTTCAAGACGCTGAGCAAGCCGAAATGACAAGTAAAACATAGTTTTACCTAAAACACGAGTCCTAACTGAATTATTACGTCACTTATGCGCAGGAAAAGACTGGAATAAAAAAGATTTTCAGTTCAACGTTCATCAAGGTCTGTTTTTGTATCCAGGCCTCGATACTGCAACACCCAGTAGGTGTTGTTGCCGTACTTAACTGACATGTTCCGAGACCTCAGTTCTACTGTTCTACAAGAATGTTTATATTCTACTCTCATGTGACCGGATATAATAAATTGTTCTTGCTGCGACAAACATTGCACCTTAATTAGTGCGCAGGTTTGTGGGTCACGCGCAAGCACGGTTTTAAGGGGTTCAGAAAAAACTCATCCAGGTCCCGTACTGTTGTAATATGTACCTGTCTACGGTTTAGGCGGACAGAGCTAACATGGTTTACAAATGCCAGTTCACAATGAACGAAATGAACATTCAACATAAGAATCCGCTGTTTTGGGCATTTTATAGAACGGCGAGGATCTATAAGGGGTATTATGTAATATGCTGATGACATCAACTGTACATATAAGGCTCCCTTAACCGGTAATTGCCATTTGCCGTTGTCCAAGATACTGTTGATTCATCTAGAAATTTCTGGTTTTTCAAGATTTTACCATCATCCAAGACGTGGTCAGTTTGGCTCATAAAATGGATACATATACGAAGAAAGACTGACGGCGAAATGCAACAGTTTCTATGTTAACAATCCAGCATTCAGAAATAATTTACAATTATGCCAGTTTATAGGATTAATTCGAAATGATGAATGAGCTAATGACATGGTGTGGTACATTCGAAGATCTCACTGCCCGGAAGGAATTAGTGGTAACCAGAAAATGCAAACTTGGGTTCGATGCACTAAAGTACTTTACCCAATGATTCTTATTTAAAGACGGAACATCTGCTGGCCTTCAGACAGATAAGCTTAGAAGTAACATATCCAAAATAATTAAACATACATCTGCACATAGACTGGAACTCAACTCCTTGAAGTCTGATGACTCCTTGTCTTCCAGTTCGGGTCTCCACCTCACGTCAGTGTCGTTCCAAGCGACATACCCTCCGAGGGTCACGACAGTCTCTTTAACAAGAAAAAACAAATTTTACCCCAAACGGTGTGCGATAAGAAAGATAACTCAGTAATTCACCACGGAAATGACTGATCAATGTGTAGTATGTGACTTGCAACATTTGAATGATAAGTTGTGCAACACTCAGGGAGAATCACATAAGATGCGAAGTTTTTACAGAATTATAAATTCTACTGGAATATATCTTGATATTATCTGTTATATCAATGTGCAATATGCGTAGTTGGGCTTATTTTTTCCGTATCTTAGTCCACGTGGTTCTATATCGGTTCTATATCAATAAAATCCTATTCCTTCAGAGTAATTATCTATGCTAGAAAGATCCGATGGGTCGTTTCCAAAGGGTAAATAGCAAACACTACACGGCTTCTCCATGCTTACTACAATTTGGGTTCATAAAGTCCGAAAGCATTAGATGCGTAAGATTTGTATGACACAGTAAATCAAAGCACACTAGATATTAAACAAACTTTTTCTGCGCACTTTGGCTTAACCAGAAATATGAGGCTTTATCTAGGAAAATTTTTACGGCTACAGTAGCTTTTTTTTACAAACTTCAGGGTTCAGTGCGATGCATTTCATCCATAATGAATATGGATATATCAAGCCCAAACAATTCAACATAAAAAATTTCTGGAACAGGCCATTCTGAAGGCTTAAGGGAATTGCTAACGATGTGTAGGAACAAAAGCTGAAGATCAAAGTAGATTAACTCAAATTGGATTTGACAGAAGTCGATGGCAGAATAAAATAACATGAATAAAAAACTTACCGTTCGTAGATTTAGCTGAGAGGACCAGTAGAGGGAAACTGGCGATGAGTAGAGCGCTAATGAGAATGTGCTGCTTCGTACTATTTATCCTCTACATTAGCACGAAAATTCATACAAAATGTAATGAACCAAGCCTGTGCGTCACTTGTCTCAGGGTGTCTTTCATTGTCATTCTTCCAGGACTTGAACACTTCTTTGATGTGCTCGAGTATTCTGTCAACAATGGTACTGCACACTAGTCTGCATTATTGACGTTCTCACCGCGGTTGATTATAGGAAAACCACACGCCACAGAACAGGTGGTTATATGACCTAAGAGCTTGAAAATAACTTGGGGGAACTACCAAATACTACTGTGGGGAACCCAACGCCACCAAACAATTCTGCTCACTATGATCACAAAGCCCAATAAGTTTATGAAGTAGACCACACAATCGCTATCAAAACATGACACCGATCTGGTTCATCGCAAGCGACGAGAATAAAGCCGGCAAATTTAGTCATTCGAACGAAATTCCCGCGTTGTACACGATGATATAAAAAATAACGGTGTATAATTGCCCACAAACTTCATCGGGAAATGAATGAAAACGCTTAGAACCTTCTGCAGCTTTTGTATTCTTCAGCAGCTCTGTAGAAAACCAAACATAACTTGCAGGCTACACTGACCCTCTTTATGATCACACTCCGTGGTGTTTTCTGAAGAAACCTGTAACTTCTGTCTTCTATACAGGAAATAACGTTCGAATTCTTATAAGTGAATCTTGCTTGTTTTTGGCCTTCAGCAAAGAAATATTTTGTTGAATGCAAATACTTTCGATGGAATTCGACTGAACCAAAACTCAAAACCCGAGAACTGCCGCAAAATCACGCAAAAAAGTGAAAAAAATAAACAAGGATAAAGAATCTTAATTGATTTTTCGCATGCGCATGACAGCTGATAAAGTGGTCGTTTTTTTAAGGCAATAAGTTATATTCGAAACCTATAGAAATTTGGAGAAAGTATCCAGTTATTCTCGTAAAGGTGGCGCACATTTGAGTGCCAAGTGGCAAAACCTCGTGTGTCGAGTCAAACTGATTTATGGCGATTCCCCCTAAAAGAAAATTTATTCACGAGTCAAACTGATTTATGGCGATTCCCCCTAAAAAGAAAATTTATTCAGTATTTTTCGATCAATATTTTCAGTGGGCAAAGGCCACTTTCTTTCAGCTTCTCTTTTCTTGCAGCTTGGACAAAATCCCTATGGGATTCAAAAATTCTATGAAATCCACTTGGTTTGGAATATGTTGCGCTATATCAGGAAGCGGAGAATGAGACGTGCACGGAACTTCATACTACGCTATTCTCCTGGTACTTAGCGTCATTTCAACAATGACAAGTACCTTGCTTAGTTATTTCGAAAGCATCTACCACGTTGAATCCTCCAGCGTTGATCAGTAGCCTTCTCACAACCATTAATACCTCGTTTTATTGTAGTCAAATTGCTTGATAAGTTAATTCAAGCGGCGGCTAGTTGAGCTTCTGGGCAAATAACTCATACCCTACTCTTTAGACGTACTAAGTGAATGAGTATGCACAAGACACCGCAAAGATTTATTAGAAGATGTGGCCTAGAATGTACTACGTGGTGCACCTCAGGTGATGAGCTCAGACTTGTAAATACCCACTTCGACATGCTTGAAAACCTATAGTAGACAGCGTATTACCGAATTAAATTTATTCCAATTGCTCTAAATTTGAGAATAAAGAATAATTGGAAGCTCAATAGTATTGGGGATTCGAAGTGTAAATATTGTGGTACACAATAAGACTAAACAGAAGAGACAGAACTTACCATTAGCTAAAATGAAGCAGGCTAGAAAAGCTGAACAGATGTGTAATGCGGTAGCCATTCTCATTAGTGTGGTCGCCATAGCACCGTTGTTGTGCAGTGTTTTATGTGAGCAATCTAAGCAGCCAAATACAAGATGACAAATGGAGCACAAGCAAAACACACCAATCTAGAAAACGTTTGATGAAAGTTTAGTTATTAGGACAAGGTAGATGCGCCTGAAGAGTGGCCGATGATTTTGTGTGAAATCGATATGTTTATCAAGCCACGAGGTCTCATATATACAGAGCGACAAAAAAGGCTGCTCTTTAATAAATTTTTGATACCACTTCGAATTAATTCAGAGCAGCAGCATTTTGAGAACCTCAAATGTGAACAGGTTTGACCACGAACGACTTCAGTGATAATTTCTTATCATTTATTCATTGGCATCTACTTGGACTGAAACTCACTACAGTTACACAGCATTTCCGGCCACAAAAGTGGACTGAAAATCAGGATGCCACAAGAAAATCAAGTTTTTGAAATAAGAACCCTTATGCCATGCGTGAAATGTATTTAAATATACTTGAGGTTACCATAGGACCAAAATAATCCATATAATCTAAGAAAAGCCAGTTGCAGGTGAGAATCATACCAGCTTGAAAGGAAAACTTATGTACTGTGACTCTGTCGGGACGATACAAATTGCGGATAGTTTGCCCTGCTTCTTATTTAGCAATGATTACATTGGAACTGTCGGTAATAAATAAAGAGCAGTCTATCTATTACATTAATAAAGAAGGGGTTAAACGCCGCAAAGGGAAGTGAGGAGTGTATTGAGTGAATACGGCACCATATTCAACTCCCAATTTCTTGAGTGGTGACTAGCTTTACCTGATTACATCAATAAAGTAATGTTACCATTATTGAGCCGCACAGTTCCAAGTATAATGCTGATTAACCGCCGTTAACCTAACTGTTAAGTGTCCAAACAAATAACCTACTTCGAAATAAGGACGAATCAGCCGTAAAATGCTTTCCGCCTTTCCGCGTGAACTGGCCTCACTTACAGGACGAGCTCTTCAATAATACCTTGAATGAAGTTAACAGATATCGTGCTGTTATCGAGCTGTGGATAACTTAGAAGGGATGAAAATTCATGCATTGCACGAGACTTTCATTTTAGGAGTTGTTCTCAAAAGGAGTCAGTCATCACCTGACTACCTGGTATGAACTCCATAACCAAAGTACGAGTGATTTTATATCATACCTAGACATGAGCTAATTATGATGCTGACCAACTGCTCGCAGCCAGGTTAATCTGCAGAAACTAGCCCGGGAAACTGCAGGCTTGAAAGTCTCTGGGATTTTATGGGATGGGATAGGATGGGGGGAGGATTGACTATGCCCCCCACGGATGAAACTACAATACAGCGCTTTCCGGTCCTTCAGAATAGCTTGGCTTTTGAGTACGGAACAAAACCTCAATTGGGAAGTTGCGACACTACAAGCTGCAAAATGTAGGTCAGACCATATGTCTCATGGGCGGCTTTATTTTGATCTGGGTCAAATTTTGCAAGAAAATATCACTTCAGAGACATCACCTGACACTTAGCGTTGCACACCTTGCCGGTACCAAGATCCAAAAGCACGCTGCAAAATCATTGGTCATCAAGAGTTGAAACAGGTGTATAAAGCGGCCATTTAAAATATCTTTTGAATGTAATGCTACGTCATGCGCAATAGCGTGCAATTTGACAACTATGCTCGCACAACCCTATATGTCGACTTAGTGGTAATTTACATTATTACCAGCATGCATAGTCATCCCATATTCCATAACAGCCTGATTCTTAGTCGAAAACTCACAGCCTAGTTTATATTTGTAATGTACTACTCATAAGGTTGTTGAAAATCCATCGACAGCCCACAACCGGTTTCGCCCTTCTTGGGGCTTGAAAACAAATTGCACGAAATTAGCGAATATACACTCATCTGCAAACTAATTTGGTTCTTTCGAGAGACTCACCTGGAACCCAGCTGAATCTCTCGTTTATGATATTCTCAGGCAAGTGAATGTGCTGCACCAGACAGCCTCATGTTTCAGTGGCCTGAGAACATCATAAACGAGAGATTCAGCTGGGTTCCAGGTGAGTCTCTCGAAAGAACCAAATTAGTTTGCAGATGAGTGTATATTCGCTGACAACCTAGTTATTATGACAGATTAATGTTCACCTAAATAAAACTGCAGTTATTGGGATCCAGATACCGGTGGGATTAGAGCAATAAAATGAAACCAAAACGTAAATAAGTCTTTGCAGTCTCAAATTAACTTAACAGATGCCTTGGGTGACACATCGCACTAGGTTATCTCAATGTATTTTTTAAAATTTTAAATAGAGTTTATATTGATGTTTTGGTCAGTTTGATTGTCCTGTTAGCCTTACTTTTTATGGTCCAATTAGAATTAGCGGCTGCAACATTTATTGATTATTCCTAGTTGAACTCGAATAACCATTCAACTCCTTTGTTGCTGCAGAAAGTAATTCTTCCCTCTTATGTGTTAAGGGCAACTGGCTAGGCGTCAACAATTTTCCCAACCAAATACTTTAGCAGAAAAGTGATAAAAGCGTTGAAGTCAAATGGAATCATTTGACAGGGTTTTTTTATGGTTCAGGATAGCAGAAAATAAGGGTGCAGGAGTTACCTTCATAAATAATGAAATTTCCTCACCCGCAGTTTTACCCGTAGGATCGTTTACGTTTTCGACTAGTACTAGGGGTATAAAATCAATCATATGGGCATCCAATGTTACTACATTTTTTCAATGTTGACTTGGAAAATCATATCCAATATCCACTACAGTCAGAACTATTACATGCTTCTTGTTTTTCACCCCGAAAGGGTAGCCATTTGTACCATTATTAGTTGATGCTTTTTTCAGGAAAATGAGAAAGGCAAAGTTCTCAAATAATGCACCCTATAACGTTTATGTGGACGACATCTTAGTTTTTTGAACTGCAATCACTTTGCGGACTTATACAACGGTATGTAAAACATAGGCTAGGCCTATCAGTGAAGTTTGGTGCAGAAATTAGTTGGAGCCCCAAATGCGTAGAAGATCTCACTTTCGGACGTCTAGATGACATCTTAAATAGTTCTGTGTGATCGGTCCAGCTCATAAAGGAGTATTGGTACGCAGTTGACGGCGACCAACGAATTTGAAATTCTGACTATCCAGCAAGAAGAAATGGTTTGTAAAACTGGAACTAATTTCGAACGATTACCCATAGAATTTTATAGATGTACAGGGCGCACCTACAAATCAGCAGGGGCCCCATCTTTCCTCATAAATGAGAAGATTTAGTCAAACCGCAATTTAAGGGAGTCCACCTAACGACATTCATACAGCCAAAGTTACATGGTGTTCATTTAGGCACTGAGTTAATCTTGCATCCGTCTGTGATACAAGCCATTCGGCGATGTGCGTTAGCTATTTTATCCAATCTCTCCGACTCATACGGTGGGCACTTATTCAAAAGCAACTGTGGTGAAATGTACACTGGCAGAAGAGAATGGTGTGCACACGCGTACCAGACCGTTTGCCTGGCTGCTTAGAACAGGTATTAAATCGATCAACTGAAACCCTGCAAGCGGAAACCGGAAAGCATGTTTTAGTGATCACCGGATACATCCTCTCCACTGGTCACAGGGTTGACCCAAATAGGTCTTGAAAATCTCAATCAACAATGTTTTATCAACATCGTTAACTTCTAGTGAGGGGTCAAGTTAATTAATCACTGTTGACCCAGATTGTGTTCATAAAACACCTTGAAACCAGCTACCAGCTTGCACTGGACTCAGAATTTGACCTGAATGCCTCAAGGTGTGATTGATCCCGTTACATATTTTCATTGGTATGTATTGCTATTTATGGTGTAGAATTGATGGTTTTTAGTACCCTGACTTGTGACTTGGATTGTCGACAGCCCTCAATATTTTGTTCAACTGGGTAGCGGACCAAACGCTTTAAATTTCAGGTACGTACGTTATTCTCAAAAGACGAATTTTGTCTCCGTCGGCCTGACACAAATCTCTTCTGGGAAAGCGTCGCAGCGACCCTAGACATCTAAATGAGTAATATATGTTATTGTATAGGTCTGGTTTGTTATTCTTAAGTGGAATAGCTCGTTTTATCTTCTTCTGACCGGTAGTGGATCAGTTGTAAAAGCAACAAGCGGTGTGGAAATTTTTCCAGCTAATGTGTGCTTACCGCTGCGAGCTACGTGCTAACGGAGTTTAGATGTTGCGTTAAACAGGATGCAACTGTGAATTCATAGAACCGCTCAGTCATTGTACGAAATTTATATTGAGAAATTTGTTTTTTGACGAACATGTCTTTTGGCCAGACAAACAGCACCCGTAGCACTAGTAGCTGCAATCATTAATGGGCGCGTTTCTCAAGAAAACATCTCAATTTCGTTGAGGAACACTGTTTCTTCCAAACAGTTTCACGGGATTCATTTCCATGAACTGATCAAGGGAGCGAATTTATTGGGAAACGGTTGATATATTGTTCTTGTCCAGAGTCATTCTCCGTTGATGTTTTGGCTGTGAACTGTTTGCAAAGCAATTTTTTTGGAACTAATTCAGCCAGCACCACCGAGCATGAGACATGAAACCCTCTACCGTTCTTCGAGGTTCTACCTAAACTGACTTGCTCCCATTGTCAGGAGTCGCAGTATATTCCTTGCCGATTATAAGAAATATGTAGTCAACTGAAGCAGCTAATCAAGTAGCCCTTATTCTAATTCATCAGGCAACATGCTATACCCATTTATGCAGCTGTTTCAGAGACCAGAGTTAGTTTGCTGATGGTGCAAGTAAACTGTTTTACTCTGTTATTTGTGCTTGCCGGTCGGTTAGATATTATCGTAGTAATATAATATTATATATTATATATATTATTATTACAATACTATTACTATATTTGACACTGTTTTCTGCTGTGTCTACCAACAAAATGATTGGATTTTATTTAAGGTTTTTAGTTTTTGGTTATTCATTTTGGTTGCAATATACTCCCCAAACATCAGTCTAGGTGCAAGGTCTCGAAAGTCCCTCGAAGGATCACGTTTCCGACGGTCAAGACTGAAAGTTTCTAGTTTCAGGACAACCATATTTGTA